TCGATAACCCTGAAGGGTCCTTCACAAAGTTAAAAATTTTATTCTAGAATTCAGAGTGCTATTTCCTTCCCATGCAGTTATAATTTGGTGAACGTTTTCAGCGTAAACTCTGAAAAGTGAATGCAGCGCGCTGTGCCGTCCGCGAGGGGCCCGGGGTACAGGCCGGGACTGCGGGCTGGCTCAGCCTGGAGGTAACTGGGGGAGCAGCCTGGCCTTGTCCATTCCCACTCACTCGGAGTCGCCCAAGAATCCTGGCTTGTATTCCCAGGTCGCCGCCAGGCAGGCCACGGTCCCCACAGGCTACCGACCCCCAGAGTCACCCCACCGGTCTCTCCCCATCAGGGCTTCACCCAGGGGCGTCGGGCTCTCCCAGGCCACGCAGACGCCCCTGCCCTGGCCAGGGCTTGTACCTTCCCAGCGCCCCCACCCACCTCCTCACTCTGGAGGACTAGGCGCAAAGGCTGTAAGCTTTCCTTCCTCCTTGTCCGGGTTTCCCCAGCTGTTTTCCTGTAGAGCAGAGACTCCTTGGAGCTTCCTATCTGCCTCCATTAAACACTGCCCCGCCTGGCGCATGCGTTCCCAGGGCTGCGGTAACTACGTGTCAAAAACTTGGTGGCTTGAAACAACAGAAATGTACCGTCTCCCGGTTCCGGAGCCAGAGGCTGAGCCCAGGCAGGTGTCGCAGGGCTGTGCTTCCTGGGAAACCTGTGGGCGGGAGCTTCCCGGTCTCTCCCAGCTCCTGTAGCCTCAGGCAGCCGTTGGCTTGTGGCCACATCACTGCAGTCTCTGCCTCGTCACACAGCTGCGCTCTCCTTCTTGTAAGAACACCAGCCATATTGGATTAAGGGGTCACCTTGCTTCCATCGGACCTCATTTTACCTTAATTAATTACACGTGCAATGACCCCATTTCCAAATAAGGTCTTACTCAGAGGTACTGGGGCCAGGGCTGCAATGTATCTTTTCGGGGGAGGGGGGCCCACAATTCAACCCCTCACACCTGGTGTGAGAGTATCTGGCCCCAGGTCCATGCCTAAGGCCGGTGGCTCTGCAGGGAAACAGAGCCACCCTCTGTATAAACCTGAGCAAGATCCTAGGCCACCTGCCTGTCTCACCTGTACAGTCACCACGCCTGGAGTCACTGTGGTATTAATGAGAGTCAGTTCCCACAAAGGTGAGTGTCCAGGAAACCGTAACCATGATTATTAACAGTGTGTGGAACAGAGCAGGTACTCAGTGAATAAACGCAGTCACCACTTCCTCTAATAAATATTTACCGGCTGGCAGGCCCGGAACCAGAGCTGGTGAGCTTTCCCAGGGCAGGGAAGCCGTGGCCAAGGGCCCTGAGACCCTGCAGCTCCCGGGCATCGTGGGAATTGCTGAGGTGGCCTGTGGCAGCTGCCCATCCCTGCTCTGATGGAGGGGGATTTCTGGTGCGTGCACACACACACACACACACACACAGCCCCCACAAAGCATGGAACCCTGGCTGGCTCTGTGGGAATGTGAGGTTGGAGCAGACAGGGACTCCACACCCTGTTCCTGCTCTCTAGGCTGTGAGTGTGAGAGTGTGAATGTGTGTGTGTGCGCGCGCGCGTGTGTGTGTGTGTGCACGCGGGAGCATGCGGAGGGCCGGGGACACGGGCCAGAGGAGACAAGCATCTTTCTGGTGGAATATATTCAGCGGGAATGAAAGTGCGCCGCCAGAGCGTGGCTGGAGTTCGGGACCCTCCTGGTTTCGGTGAGGTCCAGATTCTCCTCCAGACAGGCCGGTGTGGGCACAGCGAGGGAGGTGGCACCAGAGCCCCGCGTCCAAGACAGAACTCTCCCTGGCGGAGCTGGGCGACCTCGTGACCCAAGTTTCCTCCTCTGCCCAGTGGTGCTGACCCCATCGGCTGCATCAGGAAAGAACACGGTTGAGGTGCCAGCTGTTAGTATGTATGTCCCGCTGTTGCTAGTCCTTGAAGATGCGTTTCCACAGCACGTGACAACGCACCAAGCATGGCCACAGCTTTGCTCTGTTGTGATTTTCATTTTTACAACAAGAAGTGAAAAATTACTATTAGACACGGCCCCGTGTTCATCGGCCAAGGCTCAGGCCTGCACCGCTCACCCTGTATTTCATCCACACCCACGTCATGCGCTTCCTTCCAGGGGTTTCCTCTGCTTAAGAACAAACTCTGACCGGCCTGTGTGGCCCCCTTGGACTTCAAACAAACAAGTCCTTCCACGGAGAAGCTCACCAGCAACTCCTTTAAGTTTCAAGGAGATACACAAAATTATGCGGATTTTCAGGAAAGAAGTTCATGATGGAATTTCAACCCAGACCCACACGGCTGAGTCAGACATCACTGCGTCAGGGACCGTGTGGGGCTCAACACTGACACTGCACAAAGCGAGCAGCTTTGCTGCTCAATGTGCATCTCCAGCAGAGCCCAGAGGGCAAGAACAGATGTGCACAGACACCCAGGGGGGCGGGGGGTGCAGAGTGCGATGAGGTCCAAGAGTAAAGAGCCCACGTCCTTTGGGGCAAGAAGAGCGCCCGACGTCCTTTTTCTCACGTGGGAGAGACCGGGGCCTGTAAAGAGAAGGGACAGCAAACTACAATGAGTCAGGAAAGCAAGCTCGGACTAGCATGGCCTGGATCCGAGTGCTACAGTGATTACTGCATTGTTTCCATTCTGGCTTATTTATTGCATTTGCATTGACTCAGGCAAGTGTAACTCTGCAATACAGGGCATGAGATTATATTGTCTTAACAGGATTTTGTAAAAGTGCTGAATTCCATGTTCAGAAGCCTAGATAATCATTAGCAAAAGCTGACCAATCATCTCACCAATAAACCACACGGTAAACACAGAGCCTATTGGAGAGCATTTAACTCACAGTAAAAAGTCCCTACACTTCACCTGTAGCTTGGATGGCAGCCAGGACGAGGTCAGTACTGGTGGCAGGTCCCCACACCTATTATGTTCATCACAGTCACATTTTAGGTGAACATGGCAACTCCTTTCAGAAAACCATTTCAGTACATTTTCAACAAATCAAAGCCATAATGAGATATCGCCTCACATCCCTTAGGAATGGCCTCCATCAAAATACAACAAAACAAAACAAAACAAAACAAAACAAAACAAAACCAAACAAAAAGCAGGAAGAACAGGCGCTGGCGAGGATGTGGAGACACTGAAGCCCGTCCGCACTGGGGGACGTAAAACGCGGCAATGCTCTGAAAACAAGACAGCGCTTCCTCGGAAACGGGCCACCTCCCTCAGCACCCACTGCAGCGCGCCCACCCGAGAGAACTGGAGACGGGGTCTGAAGAGACTGGCGCGCTGGTGTTGACGCAGCATCATTCCCCATCGCCAAGACGTGGAAGCAAATACATGCCCGTCAATGGATAAAGGGAACGTGGCCTGTGCACGCAGTGGAGTATTATTCAGCCTTGAAGAGAGAGAGCGATCCTGCCACGTGCGACAACGTGGACGAACCCAGAGGACATGGACATCGGTGACCCCTACGTGAAACAAACCAGCCACACAAAGGCAAGTATGTGGAAGCGGTTCCTCTTATCTGAGGTGCTAACTAGTCAGACCCTTAGAAACAGAAAGTAGAAGGGTGCTTGCTGGGCTGGAGGGGGAGAAGCCGGGGCGGTGGGGGGGGAGGGCTGCTATGCAATGAGCATAGTTTCAGTTCTGCAAGACGGGAAGTTCTAGAGACCTGCTGCACAGTACTGTCCGCACAGTCAACACGGCTGTGCTGTGCTCTTAAAAAGGTTATGATGGTCAATTCTACCTCATTTTTTAACCACAATTTTAAAAACCTCAAAAAATAAAATAATATGTCATGTTATTTCCTAATATTAATAGTTGTATTTCTTGTTCTTGTCTATTTTTGTTTTGTCATTAAGTGCAAATATAGGTGTATTTAATTTTGACCCATGTTGGGGGGATGTTAACTGCCCAAAAGCTATAAAGGAACCCTGTAACTTACAAATGTTAGATAATTTCAGATCACATGGAAGATACTCCGTCTGCCTTAAAGGGAACCAGGAATTGGTATGAACTGTAAGTAACAAGCCTTTCGCTGACACTCATCTCCTTGTCACTTGCAGTAATAACTTGCAGCAGTTCTTGCCATTATCGTACTATCATCCATTCAAATATCATTCGATGAGCGCCAGCTGAATACTAGTCACTGTCCAAAGCAGAGAGTCAGGAGGGAAGAGGTGCCTATAACAAATAATCGTGTTCCTCGGAAAATTAAAGACATAATTTAGCATAATTCAAGGCATTTACAATTTAATAAGGAATAGAGAAAAATAATAAAATAGTACAATGAAAGGTGTTGTAGCCACAAAGTGCTAGTTGAGCCTAGAACAGTTATATCTTAACTTTACCCAACATTCTTTCCCCTTCTTCCAGGAACAGAGCCAATACTTGTTCCCATCATTGGTCCATGCAGTTGGTGAGCTGACTCAAACCCCAGCTCTAGGTTTAGGCGTCTGACCCGGACATGGCCAGTGAGTAGGCAAATCTCTCACCCACAGTGACTGGTTTCAACAGTCATTCTCAGTTCCCCCAGTGGGACTTGATTCTGTATCATTTCATTTTTTTAACTCTTGGGGAGCTTAAAAACGGACTTCCAACACTTAGGATGTCAGCGTGGCCCAGGTGAAAGTTAAGTAAAAATGGAAGAAAGTACAACCAAGTGAAGAGAGGGAGGTGGGGGCCAGATGACATTGCTGGAGTTCCTGAGTCCAGCTTGGCCACCGCCCTGGATCTCTCAGGTAAAGGGAACTGAGACTCCGCAGTCACACAAGGCCTTTCAAACTGAGCAGCTGCAGGTTACTGTGACTGATCTGAGCCTGGGTGTGGGTCTGCGGATCACACCCTCACTGAAGCATCAGGACCACAGAGCATTGTTGTAACCTTCCTTTAAATCCTAAACCACGATGTGTAAGCATCATCTCCAATAGGTTCTATGAAAGGACATTTCGAATGCATATCAGTGCTTTTATTGAAAGAAGAAAGCTCAGACAAATACATTAGTAATTTTTTAAAACCCTGTTTTGCCAATACTTCCATTGCTAGGGTTTTTGAAAGAGAACATAAGCCAATCCTCTAAGAAATACTGTCGGCCTGGCATCTGTCACACCGACGACGAAGATGAACCTAAATGTGCGTGGCACCTTGGACCAGCTTATGGACTCCACATGTGCTATGTACGTGTGTGTCTGGTCCAAAACCTAAGATCACCTGTGAGGCACATGATTATTATTTTTTTCTTAGCAAACAAGCTTCCTAATTTACAACTGGGCTCAGATTTCAATTAGTTTGGATTTCCTGAGCAGACAATGACTGAGCAGAAGGAAAATTAAAAAAAAAAAAAGATACAATTCACTGAGAATTGAGTAGATCTAGAATTTCCAAGACTTTTCTATAATATTATCCAGAATTTTCTCAAAGTGCTGGCATTTACAGCAAATCTTTGATCTCTTACACTTGTGAAAACAGGCTTTCATCCCTAACCATTTCACATGTGGATAGCTGTGGAAAGGCACCTTGAAGAATTAAACCTAACAGCCTGACTGGTGTGGCTCAGTGGTTGAGCGTTGACACATGAAACAGGAGGTCATGGTTCGATTCCCGGTCAGGGCACATGCCCGGGTTGCAGGCTCGATCCCCAGGAGAAGACTTGCAGGAGGCAGCCAATCAATGATTCTCTCTTATTGATGTTTCTATCCCTCTCTTCCTCTCCCTGAAATCAATAAAACATAAAAATAAAGAATTAAACCTAACAAAAGTGCTATAGGTGCTGCAGAGGTGCAGCCACAGGAATCACGTTAGCTACCTGAAGAGCAGTGGGAGAGCTGGGCCTGGGCCATGTCCCTCTCCACAGTAAGTAAACGGAGTCCCTGTCAGTGATGTAGGCCCCGGGTCCCCTGCCCTGACACGGGTGACCGGTCCCTGGACTTTGTGGAAATGAAAGAGCAAGAACTAGATTCTCTTCCAACCAGTTTCCTCCCTGGCGAAGTGCAACCATGAGTTTTGACTCAGCAGCCCTCCCGCGCATCCTATTAAGCACCAAGTCCATCTTCCCATCTGGAAGAAGCAGCCCATGTCGCAGTGGGACCATTAGCATCTCACTTGGCTGAGGGTAACGTCACACTGGACAGACTGGCTCAGCGCGCCACGGTGGCTTTGGCTTCTGTGCCCCACACGAGGAGTCAGAGGATGGATGGTTCAGGTGTGTGAGGGCAGCCGGGGGCCATCCGGCTCTTTCTAGCCTTCTGTTTCGCGATCCTTTGCATGTGGCTTTTGTCCCCCACGCTGGTTGCCAGGTGATTGCAAGGTAAAGGCTCAGCTTCTAGAATCCTGTCAGGAAAGGGAGAGGGCAAAAGGTGACATGGCCCTTTTTAAAGAGTTTTCCCAGAAGTTCCACCCAGGAAATTCTGTTCCCTCTCATAGGACTGCATTTCTCCCAATTCCCTACCTTCCTGCCAAAATACGTATCAGCTGCTGGAATGTATAAATTAGTAGAAAAGAAGAATTTTAAATCTTTCCAGGGTGACCAATCCACACGGAGCTCCTCTCAGAACTGTAATCACTGAGCAACTCCAGGCTAAGCAATGTCTGAGGTCATTTGAAATGAACTGAGAAGGTGTTGCTCCTGTTTTTCAAAAAAGAAAAGTTCCTACACATCAGCTCTTGGGCACACCAGCTCCTGGCCCCTGCACAGGACCCTCTTCCTGATGTCTGACTCTCACTCCTCCGGGCCTCCGACTGAATGCCACTGAGAAGACATTCTGACTCACCTGAGCCATTTTGCCCAATGGGGTCAGAATCGAGGCGGCTAGTAAAGCGTGTGCTTGTGGCCAGAAGAGCACTTGCGAAGAATGGGTTAACGTTTCTATTTCCTCCCAATTTCCCTGCTGCTTAGATAGGTGCGGGCTATACTGCCCAAACCTAACTGAAAGACTCAATCTGTATCTTAAGATTCTGGCTTCCCCATTCACTCCAAATTCTTAAATACCTAAACAGGAAATTAGTTATGTTGTATTTTCAACAGAAATCAAGGAGGATCGCCAACAAGTCAGGCGGTTTCGGGAATATTAATCCCCCTCCCTTAGGGAGCTCAGTGCCAAAAGGCCAAGCGTAGAGTGAAGCAATCATTAAACCCCGGGGGAAGGCCCGGCCCCGGAGGAAGGGGTAGGGGCACCAGGACATGACAAGGAGCAGCAGTGATTTTCTCATGAAGCTGACAGCATCAGCTTGCTCTTCCTAAAAGGTCAGGACGGATGAATATCTAGTTATTGGTTTTGCTAAAGGGGCAGACAGCCTGGTCCTATTCAGTGTATTTCCTTCTCCAATCGTGATACTACTGAAACGGGCGAGCTGGGTCACTGTGCAAGTCTCGGGCTTCCGTCTGCCGTGAAGGTGACAGCATTTGCACATTCCTCTGCAAGCCCTTATCTGGCTGCGGTAGCATTTGTGTACATTTATGTGCCCGGTGGTAGGTCAGCAGCCCCACCAGGGCCAGGCCTCTAGACTCATAGCCCTCTACCCCAGCACAGGCCAATAAACACTTGGCAGATAAATTATGGAGCAGGCACACCTTTGCCCTACAGTCCTTCACTCATTCAACTAATTTAAACTAAGTTAGAAAGGCCTAGAAAATCCCCAGCCTAACAGTGAAATCCAGAAACTTGTCATGGTAACTAGTCTGATTATTTTAAAAAGTGAAACTCAGACTTACTTAAAATTCTCTAACTGTGGATGAGAGACTTTTGTGGTGAATAGACTGTTCAGTAAACATCCAGGAAATAGAGTCACAGTGTGGGAGGAAGAAATCAACTTTCACCGGTAAGAAGAGTTACTGAACAATAAACAACTTGGCGAAGTTTGTGTTCACAGTAATACTCGAATTTGTGCTGACACTGCCCATGGTCACCAATGCTTTACTATTTTCAAACATTACAGCTTGCCTCCCAGGCTGGAAAGTCTAACGGTCAGCGCGGACCCTCCCTCGTTCATTCGCCGATTCTGTCAACCAGTGGTCCCTGAGCCCGACTGCGCCGAGCGCCGAGGGCGTTGCAGTGACCGGATGCAGACGTGCTTCGGGGAGCTCAGCAGTGTCGATGGCGCAAGTTAGTGAGAAGTGACGCCTCCCATAAGGAGACGGACGTCCGTGGCGTCAGCGCTGTGAATGTGGGAGATTCGCCCTGACGTGGGTCCTTGAGGAAAGCGCTCAAGAATAAACAAGATGTGAAGGGAGGGAGGCGGGCTGACCGGGCTGCACGGAGGGAAGAGATTCCGGCAGGAGGAACCGCAAGCCGAGGCTCGGGCCGGGGGGAGGCCAGCGTGGCCGTGGCCGTGGCCGTGGCCGTGGCCGTGGCCGACGCAGGAGCCGGGCCAGGGTGCTGCCACCGCGGGAGCTGGACTTCTCTTTGGAAACTGGGGACCACTGGGCTGCTGGAGGCAGGCGGGTGGGGCGGGCCGAGCTGCGCAGGCCCTGATTCTCCTTCCCCAGGACTCTGTGGGGGCAGGACGGGGCGGCCAGGTGGACGGGGAGTAGGCCAGGGGGCAGGGGGCAGGAGGCTTGAGGGAGGCCCAACAGCCCCTCGCCCAGTTCTGCAGAGAATGATTCCTTCTTGGCAGAAGTCAGTGTTTTGCCACCAACTTAAAATAAAAACTGAAAATGTATTTCCAGAAAAACAAGGCAATGGAACACCAGGCACAGTGCATCCAAATGGTTTTTTTTTAAGTAATTGTGCTCCCCGCACCCACCACCCCAAAGCCTAAAGGATAGGAAATGTGTATCCTTGTTGTCGCATCTCCAGCTCACCGTAGCAACCGTGAGACGCTGTCAGTGAGCGAGGAAACACGGGCGGCCCTGCTAGGGCTGGGACCAAGCGCCCCAGTCTGGGCGGTTACACAACAGGCACTGTTTCCTCACGGGCCCCCAGGATCGCCCAGGCCCAGGTGTCGGCGGGGCTGGCTCCTTCTGAGGCTGAGGGGGAGGTCGCTCCGGGCTCCCTCTTGGCTTATCGATGAGTCTGCATCTCTTCCTGTATGTGCGCCTCTGGGAACAAACTTCCCCCTGTGATGACAACACCCTCAACCTCATCTGAACGCCCATCACCTCGAAGGGACCTCATCTCCAACGGGGTGGCCTTCTGAGGCCTGGGCATTAGGACTCTGACATTTGAATTTGGGGGACACATTCAACCCACAGCGCATGGGCTGTGCACTCTGGATTCCATTTCACAAGGCAGCTTCTGTTGTGCCAGCTCCCAGTGCCAGCTCCCGGCGCCAAGCCCTGGGGAGTGGAGCACAGAATGGGCAGAGCAGGGCAGAGAGGATTCCCTTTCCTGGTCCCTTCAAAGCTCAGTTCATAGCCATGAAAAAGCCAAACAAAAGTAGATGGATTGTCCAGGTGGCTACAGTTTTAATTGTGTCTCCCCCCCCCCCATGTCCCCCAAATTCATATGCTGAAATCCTAACCCCCCAGAATGTGACTATATTTGGAGGTAAGGCCTTTATAGAGGTAATTAAATTAACATTAGGGCATTGTGGTGGGCCCTAATTTAATAGGACTGGAGTCCGTATTAAGAGCAGGATATAGATATGTATATAAATATGTATAGTATAGATATGTATATAGAATCTTGAAGGGAGACACACAGCAAAGGCGGTGTCTGCAAGCCCAGGAGGGAGGCCTCAGAAGAAACCGAACCTGCGGAAGCTTGATCTCAGAGTCCTATTCTCCGTGATGGTGAGAAAAGAAATGTGCTATTTAAGCCCAGTCTGCGGTATTTTGTTACGGCATTCCTAGCAAACCAATATACAAACCAAACCGGTCAACACGCCTATTCTAAAGTCCAGGTTCATTTGATAGTTCCACTCTATGGTTCACTTCTTATTAATAGAGAGTCATGTTTCCTGAGCTCTTACCTTATGACAGGCACTGTGCTGAGGGCATTATCAATGTCATTTTATTTAATCTGTACAATTTGATCTAGACACAAGGACTGTTATGATCTTAATTTTTATGGGAAGAAAACTGAGCATGAGAGCTGTAACGTGCTTGCTGAGGTCACCCAGGGGAGAGGGGACAGAGGCGGGTCCTGGGGTCTAGGTCTAGACTCCAGGGGCACAGCCGAAACATCTGGGCGTTTAGATGATGAAGAGATTAACTTACTCCTTACAACTATTCCCCTCAACATGCAAACAAACCACCTGGTTAAAAACAGGCCAAACCTTAGCAGACCCCTCACCAAGGAAGATATACAGGTGGCAAGGAAGATAGGAAACGATGCTCCACATCCTCTGTCATCAGGGAAATGCAAATTAAAAGGAATACCCATGAGAATGGCCAAAATCCAAAACACTGACAACACCACATGCTGGCAAGGATGTGGAACAGGAATTCTCACTCATCGCTGGTGGAAATGCAAAATGGTACAGTCACTTTGGAAGACGGTTTGGTGGTTTCTTATGAAACTGATCATTCTCACCACACAATCAGCCACGGTGATCCTTGGTATTTACCTAAAGGAGGTGAAGATTTATGTCCACACAAAATCCTGCACGTGGACATTTAGAGCTGCTTTATTCCAACTTGGAAGCAACCAGATGTCCTTCAATCGGCGAATGAATAAACTGGTGTGTATAGACAATGGACCGTCATTCCTCGCTAAAAAGAAATGAGCTACCAAGCCAGAAAGGACACAGAGGAAACGCAAGTGCATATGATTAGTGAAAGAAGCCCCTCTGAAGAGGCTGCACGCTGTGTGATTCCAACTCTATGACATTCTGGAAAAGGCAAACCTGGAGCTGGTAAAAGGATCAGGGTTCCAGGGGCTGGGAGGGGAGAGATGAGTAGGTGGGGCACAGGATTTTTAGGGCAATAAAATGGCCCTGGATGGCACTGCAGTGATGGGCACGTGTCAGTATACACTTGTCCAGAGGACGGTCACCACCCAGATGACCCTGCTGTAAAGTATGGACTTTGGGTGATGATGATGTGTCAGTGTGTGGTCATCGTGTGGAACAAATGTACCGTTTGGTGGGAGGTGTTGAGAGTGGGGGAGGGTATGCATATGTAGGAACAGAGGTATATGGGAAATCTCTGTACTTTCACTTCAATTTTTCTGTGAACCTAAAAATACTCTAAAAATAATGTCTTTAAAAAAAAAAACCAAACCTACTTTTGTCTTGGGCCAGCTTGTGACTACAAATTCTTCTTCATTCTTGCGGGGATCATCAGCCCTCCATTAGCAGTAATGAAATTAGGCCCGCATTTCAGAGCCCAATTAAATACTTTGGCCTTTGCTATTGCCGCAAGTTGACGGAAAGCAAAGAAGATTGGAAAAAAATGACAAGTCATCAAATCACAAAGAAACCGGGGAATATGTCCTTCATGGCTGCAGCTGAAGGGGTCTGTGTTGGTGCCGGGGCGGGGGGGGGGGGGGGGGAGGTTCCCTGCGTGTTTACAAGCCTTTCCCGGACCATCGGCAGAGCAGGACGGACAGAACTCCCCACCATCCCGGCCCTCAGCGAGGGGAGGGGGTGAGGACCTCAGAACGCTGACAAGAAAAACACTGTAAACGTCTGCTTGGGAAAGGTAATACATGGGAGGGAGTGACAGCTTCATCGTGTGGAATGCTGAACCTTTCCTTGAATGTGAGCTGCCAGGGGGTGCTATGCCTGCTTTTACATCAAATTGCCAAATTGCTGCAATTTGCATTTGCCCACAATCAGTGCCCCTTTTGCTAGCAGAGCAAACATGGAGAAACAACAAACCCTGCTCTGAGACTAGGTAACCTGCCGGGCCATCCTCCCCAGCCGCAGTGCCCTCCCCGGGGACCCTGGCCACTGCTCAGAAACGCCTGCCACCAAGGACGAAGGAGGCAAGAGGAGTTCCCCGTACCTGGAAGGGTTAAGCACTGAGTCAACCCACAGCAGTGGCACACCCAGTGAGGTCCGCAGGGTGAAGTCATTTATCTGTGAGTCATATCACTGAGTCAATACACTCTGTTCTATACATTGTTGGTTAGCAACGCACTTCCAAACATCGTGCCCCATGGTTCTGTGACACAACATTTGACAGGGACAGGAACTGCTCACTTTGACGGAACACTGGGCAATGGCATGAATGAGGCATTGAAACGACTGGGGTTTGCCCCAATGGAGTTAGAATCGGACGCTGTGGTGCATGATTCCATTTTCTTTTCTTTTTTTTTCTTCTTTTTTAAAAAATATATTTTATTGATTTTTTACAGAGAAGATGGGAGAAGGATAGAGAGTTAGAAACATCGATGAGAGAGAAACATCAACCAGCTGCCTCCTGCACACTCCCCACTGGGGATGTGCCCGCAACCCAGGTACATGCCCTTGACTGGAATCGAACCTGGGACCTTTCAGTCCACAGGCCGACGCTCTATCCATGGAGCCAAACCGGCCAGGGCATCCATTTTCACACTAAGTGTGAAAGCCAGAGGAGAGGACCACCCTGGTGCCCCTGACTAAGGGGCAAAAGAGCAACACTTCTGAGAAACCTTCAGTAGAGTTAAAAAAAGTAAAGAAAAGGAACCAGCCCAGTGGTCCTCTTGTCTTATGTCGTGGCTTTTTCACAGGCTCTGACCACTTGATTATGTTCTTAGCAATTGACAGGACTTCATAATGACTCATGTTTTAAACTAGAACTGTAAAGGCAGTTCTTCCAACCACAGACCCTATTAAAAGAACCCTGCGTTTGTAAGTCAGGAGGAATGAGCAGGCGAGGGTGAGGCTGTGTGCTTCCACCACTGGGAGAAAGGTGTGAGGCATTGCTGTTTTGTTGCCAGGCAACAGGTTGCTTGTGACAACAATCCCTTTTCTCTAAAGGACTAGAGTGCCCTTTTGTTTCCTGAGAGCAGTGCATTTTCATGGTACAAGAAGTACACGAGGAGTTTACACTAATTCGGGCTGTAATCGTAAACGGTGGTTATGAAAGGGAATGTGGTTCTATTTTTGAATTCTTGTGTTTGCTTTCCATCGTAACCTGAGAAAGCGTTTGTCTGAGGAGACAAGTTCTTTCCTTTTCTCAGCTGATTACCACTGTTTGGCTTGTCGGATGTGGTTTGTATGCCTGCGGATTTCTCCAAGCCTCTAAACTCCCCCAGATGACTCGTGAATGGGCCTCTGAGCTTCTCAACAGAGAACATGTCTACATTCAGAAATGTTATAAGATTTGATTCTATAATTTCAAGCTAATTAGCTAATCCTGACGTGAACATGCCATGATACCTTCTGTGTTTGTTTTTATGTATTCTATCCCAGCATGTGTGTGCGTGTTGTGTACTGGTTATAGACTCCCCAGGACAGGGCCCTGACCT